AACAAAGATGAAACAAAATAAAATATAAATACACAAATAAAAAGGGCATACATATGCATGGATATCATATTTCTTTATTTGCATTGCATCACATGTGCATCCTAATTATAGAAAAGTAAACGCGAGTCTCCGAAGATGAGATTTTAAGGTAATCTGAGTAACGATACCTAATAAATCCCTAAGTGAGAAAAATTTTTTAAATGTTACCAATGTACTGGGACATTTTAAGAGTTCTTTCAATAACAAGGTTTTAGTTTATTTTTCTTGAATGAAATAGAAATAAAAAAAACTATTACACATTAAAATAGTCAAGAAAATAATTCTTAAATATCAAGATTATGACCTTATTGTCAAAATTAAAAGATAATACATAATTAATTGGTATCATTTTTAAAACGGTGTGGTTGGGGTGCTAATTTTTTTCACACGTAAACATACTCTTGAACCCGACTTTGTTTTTTTTCACAAATCCAAAAATTTTTTTAAAAAAATTTTAATTAATTTTAAGATTTATTAAAAAGATAAACTTTTTAGGTAACAATCACACCTAGTAAAAAAGATCGGTGGTGACTCTTTTTTTTTTTTAAATTCATCTAGTAGTCACCAGAACTGTTACAATAAAGTTTATTAGCTATTAACACCAAAACAAAAAAATAACAAAAAATTTTTCTCCAAATTAGCCCCAACAAATTTATTTCATGCCTTAAATATCTCTTTAATCATGTTTTATATCTTATCTTAAATGTTTTTGAAATTGAAAAATCTCATATTTGGAGATAATTTTAATATTTTACTAGAAGTTTGCCCGCACTTTGTTGTGGGATTTGTTTACTTTGTTCTAATTTTTTTAATATAAGTATAACCTACAAATTATAAGAAAAATAAAAATTTATACTTTGTTCTTTTTTTTTTAATATAAGTCTAACCGACAACACCCCATTCTTCACACGCTTTGTAAAGAAAATCATGAAAAATTATAAACTACTTAACTATGGCATGTAAGGATGCAGTCGAAAATGGAAGAATTTTGCTTCAAATCAATCTTGAACTATGTTCATGAACAAAATAATGTACCTTCCTAAGCTGATTAAAGCCATCAAGCTGATTAAGTAACTCCATTAGTGTTCTCTATTTTTCAAGGTTAGCACTTGTTCCTTCACTGAAAAGGCATCCACCAATGGCATCAATCTCATCCAAAAAGATGATGCAAGGCTGAATAAAAAACAAAAACAAATATAAGAAACATATTAACAGATATAAAGAAAAGAAAAAAAATCAAAATTCCAAGTTCTCACTTAGTGATCACTTATATATCCAAACATTTCTTGTGTCAACCTTGCACTTTCTCTGATGTATTTGTCAATTATTGAACTCAAAACACCCTGAATTCAAATGAGGAGAAGGCATTCATCCAAGGATAGGATAACATGCCAAAGAAAATCACAAAGGTAAGACACATGATATAAATATATTGACCTTTAAGAAGTTAGCGTGAATATTAGTTGCTATTGCTCTGGCTAACAATGTCTTGCCCATACCAGGAGGTCCATAAAGAAGGACACCCTACAATGAAGATAAGGAATTTCAGATGATTTTCAACCAAACATCGTTCCACAATGTGCTTCACCCATCAATATACACACAAGCACACTTTTTGAAACTCTAGAATTAAGAGAAATGAGACAAGAAGTAATAATCACCTTGGGAGGTTTAATCCCAACTCTAAGGAAAAGCTTAGAATTCATAAGAGGGAGCTCAATGGATTCCCTCAACTCTCAAATTTGATCAGATAAACTACCAATGGCTAAGTAGCTAACATTACCAGGATCTTCATGTAACATTTTATAAACAATTGGATCAACTTGTCATCCAGAGAAATACCATGTATCAGACATCTGCAAAAAAAACTTGCTTCTAAATCGTAAAAACTAAATAGGATGCTAATAACTTACTTCACATGGAAGAGCCCACATGATTGTAAGTGTTGTCATGTCAAGAACCACTCTAGTTCTTAAAGTCAGTTTCTCCTTATGAACTTTGCTGTGACAACCAACCATTTAGCGAGGGCCACTGTTTGCTTTAACAATAATTGAAACACCATGCAAACATCCAATTTTATAGATATTTATCAATTCTAAAGAAAAATGAATCAAAAAATAGCCTAAAATTCAAATGCAACTACTCAGGTGCCATACTATGCAATCCCACTAAAAGGAACACATAAATGAAGTTTATAAGTTTTTAATCCAAGTATGGAAGATGATTATATCAACCATGGCTGCTATTATGTTCTCTATCAAAACATAAAGCCATTTTAAAGAGTGTAAGGATAATATGGTTACTGCATCAAGCAAAAAGCTAGTTATCATAGCTAATATGGCTTTAAATTGAAAGGGAACGGATTGCCAAGATCAAAAGACATCATTGAATTCCAATTAAAAGATTGAACCAACAAAAGTATACTACACTCACCATTCCCACCGAAACTGACATTGCCATACTTCCCCTTCATACCTAAAACCTGTCACAAGTTCACAATTAAAAAATATACACAAAAAAAGAAAAAACCACAATCCTTTCAAATGTGAGGAGCCTAGCAAAAAGAGAATAAAAAAAATGAAAAAAAAGGTAGTTTCGGTAGTGAAAGGTTTAGACTGTTCAGGCAAAAATTTGATTGGCAAAAGAGGAAAGGAGAAGAGAAGAGAAAATGATTGGTGTGACATTTTTTAAACATATAATCAACTTTTTTAAGGTGGAAATGGAAAAGTTGAGCTATTTTCTTTCGCTTTTTCTAATTCTAGTAAAATGGAAAGCTACAAAGCAAATCATTAAACAAAACTATTAAAAATCCATTTAGATGGTTGATTAAATTGATTATGATAAAATTAAAATAACATGATATACATGTTTGAATGCAAAATCTCACTAAGATTGAATATGACAACCAACAGTTCCTCCACAATGAAGAAAATGAAACATATCAGATGCAATAGTGATAACTCAACTTGTTACAATGAGAGCCATGCGAGACATGCAATGCCTTTCCGGGTTTTATTCAAAGCCTTGAGAAATCTATATTAGTTATTGTCTGCAAAAGCTACCCAACAATTGCAAAATGAAGAGACTACTTACTTCAAGCTCAATCATTTACTCCTAGTTTAGATTAGAATGATAAATGGAAGAAGGCCACCATGATCAAGGTATGCCAATTTCGTTGCTAAAACCTTTACTTAAGTTTCATCAACAGGATTTTCGTCGTAAAAAATCTCGTTGCTGAATCCATATAAGAACTTATTTTAATTTTAATAAATTAAAATTAATTTTTTTAACAAAAGAATTAAAGATAATTTTTTAATTTTTACAATACTATTAGCAATGAAATTTTTTGTCGCTATTGATGAAATTAGCGATGAAATTTCATTGCTAACTATGTTGATAAATTTGGTGCCAATTGCATTTTTTTCCCGCATGGTTCACCGATGGAAATAAATTCTGTCACTAATAGTTTCACATTTTTGACAAAACTCCATTGTTATTTTCTCAGAATTTCGTCACTAAAATTCTTTCCAACTCCATCGTATTACCATCAAACATGGTTATCAGCGACGGAAATTATCTATCGGTAAAAAACTATTTTCATTCAATATTGAAAGAAAAAGGAATTGTTCACCACTAACGTGTCTCCGAATTGAAGTACATTAAAAAAAAAAAAGAGTAAACCCTTATATTTAAAATGTTGATTTAAGAACTTTGATGCATAATTAGAGATCAAAGCAAAGTGAAAAATGAAATCAACCCCCTTGGGATAGAAAAAAAATGAAGGGATATTTATTACCAGTAAACTTGATAATTGTGTATTAATATCATATAAAATATTAATAATTATGTATTTATATTGTGTTTTATACAAAAATTATGTATCATAATTTATATCAATATAAAAATATAAAATATTTTTTTTTATTTTATTAAACCCAAATATAATTTTTATTAAAATTTTATATTGTATTTTTTTTCATATTTTCATATTACATTTTAAATTATCAAATCTAATTAAAAGTGAAACTTGAATAATGAAAAAAGAAAAAAAATGCAACTAATTATCCAAGCAAAGAAGAAAAAGTCAGGTTATCAACCCACAAAGGGAAGAAAAATGAAGGATGAAAGAGTGGTTTTTTCTTCTTTTTTTTTTTTTTTTTAGTGTGACAGCACAATAATTGGATGAACTTTCCAGGAGAAGGAAGACTCGTTAGCCACCTTGTATAAACGCACAACCACGCATTTCCATTGCCGTTTTGCTGTTTAAATAAATAGGCAAACGACCCCACTCTCACACTACTCTGATTGTATGAAAACAACTTTATTTTGTCTTTTATTCAATTTTGGTTGCCCTATTTTGGATTCCCAGCGACACTACTACTCCATATTCATTTCTTAAATTTATTTATATTTTTTTAAGGCAATCCATTTCAATTTTCACATGTATTTGATTTTTTTATCCAATTATTTTTTCTTTTGATGAAACTTTAATCTTCTGGGAAATGATTGTTGTTTTAAAAACTATAAATATTTATTTCTTCTGTTTATTATAATTTAGTAGTTGAAGCAGATTCTTTTTTTTTTTTTGGTCTAGAAAAATGGAAAGAAAAAAAAAAACCCATGTCCAATTTTGAACTTTAAACACAAGATGTTTAGATTTGATGAAATAATGTTTGTTAAAAATGTTACAAAGAACAAAATCACGTGAATATCATGCAGTGAAGCAGAAATATATAATGCCAGAATTAATTAATGGCAAAACTTGTAATATTTTTCCTTTAAGGGACAATAATTAAACTTGATGACATGTTTTAAATCCAACAAGAAAACTTGTTCTGATGCATTAAACCTGAAAGGATAGCATGTAAATTACTTTTATTACTTGAGAGGTGAAAGTGAAGTTCATAAAATCTGAAATTCTATCCCCAGTTCTTGCAAGTTTTTAGTTATAAAAAAATTCTGCTCCACTGTTACCTAATGAGTTACCGTTTTATTATTTGTCAATAATAATATGATCTGTTAATATAACAATGGACTTTTAATTTCAATGAAAAAAATGTGAAAATCCTACTGAGAAAATTTTCTTTTTTCTTTTTGTTGATGTCATTATTCCAAATAATGTTACAATTAAGGCAGTAAAAACTAAAAATAATAGATGGAGAAAGGAAGCCTTAAATGGGCTTAAGAGATTTGATGAGTTGAACATAGCTTAAAGATCTTCAAAAACAGCAAAAATATCACCACCTATGTAATCGTTATCAACCAAGCTGACCAAATAGTAGCTGCTCTGAATCTGCAAAAATGGGGGGAAAAAAAGCATTATATTTATGATTATTGTGCTTAATCCTAATAAAAATGAAGTGCAAGAGTGAGTATGAAAGTGGCCAGTTGTTCCCAAGAGATTGGATAAATTGATAAGCTATACCTCTTCAAGCAAATTTTTGGATGGATCGTCATCTGGGTACAAGGATGCCCATGCTCTCGACCAAATTTCGAATGCTTCATCCTTCCACACCATGAAACTGGCAGGATCCACCACAGTTGGCTGGATTATTTCTTTGGCTGGGAAGACCCCCCAAGTTACAGCATTAACATCTGTCAAGCCAATGTTTGATAACAAGTTCCCATTTTTGTTGACCGCAAAGTAGGTAACAAATGAGAAGGAGTTGCACTTGTTGACAAGCTCATTTAATTTTTCCCTCGAGCAGAAAAACTCAAGATAAGCCTTCTGGTAAACATAACCTCCAGGGCCACCCCAACCTGCAAGCAGTCGGGTCAGAACAAGTTAGAGCAGACTTGCACCAGAGTTTACTATGAGAAGTGGAAGCTAAGAGAAGGGAAAGTGCAAGGAGTTGTCCTGCCCATAGCACATCTAGCTTTATATCACCTACCACCCTCCAACTGCTTACTCAGGGCAAACTACTATCCTGAGCCTGACATATATATAAACACACGCACACACACATGCTCGAACAAAGAACAAAAGTCCAACACTTTGCTAAAAATAAAGAATAAAATTGAGAAATCTAAGGCTCTTAATTCTTAAAGAAATATATCATAGCTGCCTAATAGCAGATGGCAGTATTCAGGTGCATCAGAATCATTTTGTGCAACCAAATTAGAGGATACATAAAGGAAAACGTAAATCGGATACTTGTACTTACCAACAGATGGAGAATCAGATCGTTCTCCATTGATAGCTGGTTGGCTATTAATGGTAAGGAAGCCCTTCAAATTGATGCTTCCCAGCTGTTCGTGTATGATTTTTGTCTCTGGTTGAAGCCCATCCAATTCTGACCAAGGACTACTTCTCAACTTACCCAGGCAATAATTTTTAAATTTCTGATGAACACCAGTTCCAAAAGAACCATATCATAATTAAATCTGAATAACTTGGAAAAAGATAAAAGACTAAATAGATTCTAAGCTAGATATTTCACCTCTTGAATATCATCAATGCTTTTCAATGGGGTAGCCCATTCTTCGTGAAGCTTCTTGTCTCGTGCTCGGGGCCTCATGAACTATTGAGAAATTAAATCACTTCGGTCATACACAGGTAAGACTATCTAAAAAAGAAGCAAAGAGGACATTTCCTCAACCAAACAACAGTTCTCATTTCTCAACATATCACCGCTTGAGCATAAAGGGATTATAATAAAAACAAATAAAAAGGGTACTTATTACATGAAAACAAATGTTCATGAATTGCAAGAATAAATACAAAAAAAGAAATCAAATGTTTAACTATTTATTAAATTCATTTGAGCAAGAGGTTCCACCATGGTCTATGGGGTCTCTGTTCCAAATCAACACAAACAAAGAACAACAAATTCCCACCATGAACTTCTTAACGGGTTTCCTTTTGTTGGACAGATTCCCAAATGTACTTGTTAACATGTTAACCAAGTTAGTTTCAATTCAAGTCATAATTGTACAACCAACACAATCAATTTATTGTTGTCCAAGGTGCAAGGTGCACTCTAGTCACTATGACCCTTATACAGGTCAAGGCACAAGGTGTTAAAGAAGCAATGAGCAGAAAACCACCTTAACCATAATAAAATCTACACCAATATAATTAAGCTGTCATATATTCATCAAATTTGCTGTTTTCTATCAATGAAAGGGTATGAAACATCAACTTGTTATTGTGCAACCCAAGATTGAAGAAGAACAAACTGCAGTTACACTTCCTCCAAGAGAAATTGAATGGATCGAAGATACTTTCAATATCTTTAATAAGAAACAAAAGAAAGAGCAAAGTTCAACCATTTTGTACCTGATAGTCAGATAGTGCACCATATGATGGATTTCGTGAATCACCCCATCGCCCATGTGGGTACTGGTCCCAACCAATAGTCCTGGATATGTAACTCTTTGGACGGTTAGCCCTGCCATCATTAACTAGAAAGATCAGATGTCCAGAAATATTCATTTGTAGCAACCCAGTAAACTGCAGACATCTAGCCAAGAATGGGAAGTTCCACATTTATCACATACCAAAATATTGGGCGAACATCTTCTTTAACACGAAAAACATTTGCTGGGCGTCTCCAAGGTAAACACCTGGAAATTTTGGATTCTTCAATCAATCCAAGATTCTGCCAACATAAGCCTATCCTTAGTATGGGGCAGATGAAGTAGTAATTATACATCAGAAAATTAAGATGAACATAGCTTCACCCAAAACTATTGCCACTCATTTCCACGTTTACTTTCAATTGAGAAAAGAAAGCTCCTAACAGTTTATCTTAGATTGATGAACAATAAGTCACTTAGATGAAATTTGCAAGTAAATCCCAATCTTATTCTGTACCTGCATGTCTTTTCTTTCCTTCATTATTTCAACTGATATTCACTTAATTATATGATACTAATCTATGAGAAAGTATGACATTGAAATTTGAAACCAATAGATAGTTCAAGGTTTTTTCTTAAATAAGTGAAGAACAAGAATATATGGTTAAAGAGTTTTTCATTGACCCTGTAAATGTTCAATTTGAGGAAGAAAGAAATCTTGAATTACATATTTATTTATGAATTTTCATTTTTAAATTTCAAAGCTTAAGAAGTCAAATGGTATTCAGTAATAAAATCCTCTACATGCCCAAATAATGAAGAAATATGGGACAAAAAGAACTACCATTAGTATAGCTAATGCCGATTTCTCCATGTTTAATGTATAAAGGTGCAATGTCTTAATCCCATGAGCTAAAATCTTGCGGCACATTTCCGTTCCAAGGTGAATTCCATAGGATTTGACGGCTTCTTCATTGTCCTTGATATGCTCTAAGGCAGCAGTAATCTCAGCTGGTATCTACAATGAGCCGTTAGATGCAGATGTTAAATTTGAAAAAATTAACAGAAATAAACATCAAAATAACCTTTTTTATCCACTCTTCTAAGAAACCATAATGAATATATCAAATCAATAGTCAAGATATGGGGTACCCATTTAAATTAGGGCCTCCAAAATCTTGGAACTTTAAAGTTTGAGAAGAGTGACACTGCATTCATTTCCTTTACACAAAAATGCACCAAGGAAATGCCTGCATTGTTTCTACTATAAGCATGGGTTTACCTCAATGAGCATCTCCACTGCTTATCGAATTATTTGAAAAACTAGCTACTACCTTTTCCATAAAAAGTTCTGGACGTTAGAATATCCAACTAGTAAATGTACCTTTTCAATAAAATTTACCAATTGATACCTGCTGAAAGGCTTAAAAATACCTGAACATAATTTTCTCATACTAAAAGGAAAAGCGGGACAATTGTATGATAAGAATTGCAGCGTTTGTTATGGAAACGTGAACAGTTTATACTACATACCTTAGTTTTGCAAAAGCCAGTCATACGCAAGAAACCCTTGTAGTTATTAATGGGCATAATACCCGGCACAATAGGACATTTAATTCCAATTTGGCGACAGTCATTGACAAATTTGAGAAAGATATCGGTGTCATAAAACAGTTGAGTGACAATCAGATCAGCTCCTGCATCAACCTATCGAGTAAAGAGGTTTTAGCACAAGAATTGACTAATGCATAGAAATGGAGAAGGAAACACTAATCTTAGAATAACATTTCCAATTAACTAATGAGTTATGAGTAAAACCTTTCTCTTCAAGTAAGCAAGATCATTCTGATAAGCTTCAGGTGTAGCTACACCGTCATTTCCTATGGCATCCGGATGTGCCTCTGAGCAAAAAGGCAAATTATTAATAATGACAAGCCACAAGAACAGGCCTCTTGTTAGCAGACAATTAATCAAACAAAATAAATAAAATAAATAAAAGAAGATGAAAAGCACCTGGATAACCAGCAACTGTTATACCAAAATAGTCACCATATTTGCCTCTGATATGTTTCACCTAGAATTTAGAATATAATAGCAACATATTTATTAAAAAATGTAAAAATAAATAAAATGGAAACAGAAAGAACAATGCTTTACCAGATCAAGTGCACAGGCGAAGCCACCTTCCACCTGGACAAACTTGTCCTGGCCATGAGGAGGGTCACCTCGGAGGGCAAGAACATTCTGAATGCCATTGGACTTGATGGTCTGAAGAGCATGGTCGATCTTTTCAACAGGCATATTGGTGCAAGTGAGGTGCATCATGGTCTCCACACAGATGATGTTCTGCATCTTGTTAGCAATGTCCAGGGTGAGATCAGCAGTAGAACCACCTGCACCCCATGTAATGTCACAGAATGATGGATTATGGGCAACCATACGATCCATCCTCTCAAACAGGTTGTCTACTCCATCCTCAGTCTTTGGAGGGAAGAACTCAAAGGAAAACACCACTTTCCCTTGGTCCTCCTGCAAAGATTGGATCTTTTCTATCACCTTCATCTTTAACTGGATCTGGAACTATCAGTGTCACCAACAACTGCAAGTGAAATTAAGAATTGAATATGAAACTCAGATGTTTGAAGAAATAACCAGAAAGGAACAACAGGCAGCGGCAATCAAACAAACCCAAAACCGAGTCTGAAAGAAACACTGATAATTCAGAGAAAAAAAACCCAACTTTCACTTTAAAGAAACAACATAGAAGAAGATAAAAGTGAAAATTTTACACCAATCCTTTCTATGCAAATCAGATCAGCTAAAACATAAATACTACAAGTCATACATTGTCAAGAATCTAAGATCCACCAAATATAGACAGAATAGTCCAAATCTAAAATCCAAGGGTTGTTGTAGTACATTGTTCCAAATTCATAGAACAAAACTACGACAAACAAGTAAAAAAATTCCCAGAAAAAATGAAAAAGAAATGAAACTCACAAATGGGTTTTGGATGAAGAGACAGATCCTAGGAGGGGTTGAGACTGGGGAGAAGCAGAAGCAGAGTATTTGAGAGATGGCGGGTGGGGGTTGGTGTGTTCGCAATGACAAAGTTGCCACTCAACAACCCAATTGCCAATATCAGGGACCACACACCAACTTCGAGAGTAAAATTTTTCTACAAACGATACGATTCAATAGCTCCAATCGTGTCCACTACTTCATCTACCAACCATAAAAAGCGACGTTGGCAGATTTTGGTGTATATTTCTGACCAGAAATAAGGACTATTGGGCACTAACATAACTAGGTGGTTTTGTTTGATTTGATCCTGCTTTACCGAATCAGGTTTTGACCTTGTTTGCATTCTTCACCAACTTTTTGGCGGGCATTAACAATTAGAACCGTAATTCTATTTTATATGATCATTGTAAAATTTATAAATTATTAATGTTAGGAATTATTTTTAAATTATAATAAAATATTTAATAGAATATTTAAATTTAAAAAATTTTAATATTATATTTAAATTATAAATTTATTAATTAATATAATATTTTGATGTTTGATTTATACTTTAAAAAAAATTAATTTGGAAGGAAGATTAATTGTTTTTTATATAAAATGATTTCATTCTCTCACAATAGAAATGATTAATTTTAATTCATGTGATTAAACTTATATGTCTTATTATATATTTAAAAATTATATTGATAAATTTAAATTATATACCTTTTGAGAAAGATCATTTTAACCAATAAATAAAATTATTTTATCATAATTTTTATATATATCAAACATAAAATAAAATAATATTATTTAATTTAATTTTATTCATAATATCATTTTATCTTATCATATTATAATCTTATACATTTAATATAACATTAAAAGTTATTTGTATGCTCTATGTTATTATTTAAAACTAATCACGTTAATAAATTAATTAATAAAATCATAATTTAAATATCATATTAAAATTTTTTTAAATTTATGTACCCCATTAAACATTTTATTATAATTTAAGTATCATTCATAACATTAACCTTTTACAAATTTATTAACAAAGAATTATGAAATACCTCGACAATGAAATTAAAAAAAAAATTACAAAGAAAATTAAAAAAAATTATACATACTCTTTAAGATATATTTAAAAATAAAAAATAATTAAAAAAATAAAATATATCAATTTTTATCTCAAAATTAAAAAATTTCATCGACAATATATTAAATAATTTCTCTTTTATTATACTCACTAAAATATAAGAGGAATGCCCTTTTATCCCTGCTTTTGAATAACATCCAAATTTAGCATTTTATTATAAAGACCAAATCGTAATATGAAAATAAGTGAAAAAAATTACAATTGTTGATATTTAAATGATGAACATATATTAAACTAAACTCTAAATTTAACATTTAGTTTCAATTAAACATTTGATGAATATTTTTTTATCACTCATTTTTTAATACATTCAATTTTATCAGTGTATTTTTTAATTTAATTAAAAAATATTTAAAATATTACATTTTTATCATTACCATTTTATTATTTTTAATCAAATTAAAAAATACGATGATAACATTATATTCATTTAAAGATGAGTGATAAATTTAAATAATCATTTTAAATAAAATAATTAATTTGAACATTATTTTTAAAAAAGGAGACAATAATTTAATTGGTTAATAAGATAAAAGAAAAAGGTGTAGCCATTGAAAAAAAATTATACATCCCCTCAAAGCGACTAATGCAGGCAGACACCACCAAATTCCTCTGCAATAAACAAGAGTCAAAGTTACTTTTAACTACAATACATGTAATGACGAGCACGTTAGAATTGCACCATGCGATGTCAAAAGCTTACGTTGCCAATATAAATATTATACAATAAGATGCAACAACCGGCAAAAATTGAGCCAATAGCATAAAGTAGTTGCATGAGCTCAGCACACTTTGAATATAAATAAACTCATCCTCAAATCTAACCAAGTAAACGACTCACGATATAGAAATACGCCGGTGGTGGATTGATTTTGATGCAAGAGCTCAGAAACCAGAATCCCCTCTAAATCCACCTCCAAAGCCTCTATCACCTCGGTAACCATTGTTGCCACCAAAAGATCGAGGGCTACTAGGTCTTTCAGTGGCATAACTTACGAATATTTCTCCCATTGAGTTCCTGCAATTTCAGTACAAAATATTCAATACGTAATTCACCAGAAACATGTTCCACATATCAATAGTTTTTCCCTCACCTGACCATCTATGGCTGACAAAGCATTGCTGGTGGATTCATCATCAGCAAAGTAAACAAAACTGAACCCCCTAGACCTCCTAGTGTCTCTATCGATGATAATCCTAGCTGATCAACATAAATCAGAGAATGAGAACATGAACAGAAGCAAGCATTATAATGGATACCATCCTTAACATAAAAATTGTAAAAATAAAAATGTTATCATTGTTTAAATACAATGCCAGCACCAACTGTTCATACACATGAAAATGCAAAGTTCACTTTATGCCTAACTATGAGTTCTGTACCCAAAACACCCAATAAATGAAGAACAGCAAACACACTAACAATGCTAATCACTATTTGTTCACTATTACTAGTAACTTGTGGCTGACGAAAGACAGACCAAAGGAAACACATCTCTGCTTAGTACTACTGAATGAGCTAGACCCCAAGAAAAGTCCATCTACTTACAAGAAATGGAAGCTACTATTTCATATACTTGACTAAAATAGTAAATTTAATAAGAATGTCAAAAACTTAGCAGTGTCATTAGCATTACCAACACAACTCACCTTCGGTGGCATCACCAAATCCGGAAATTGCTTCCTTGAGAGTCTGATCACCAGTTCCAAATGAAAGACCTAAGAAGATTCGATTCAAATACACAATAAATGCTACATACATCTAATCTTCAACCAAAAATCCAAAATGTATCAATACCTCCAATAAAAAAGCTTTTTGCCTGATGTTGACATGCAGCGAATAGAGTTAAGCATGGAGGGATTTGCCCATTTTGCCTCATAAGGCTGCCAAGTTTGCTAGTATAATACTTGACTGTATTTTTTTTTTTTTTTGCAACAGCCCCACCAGGCCGCACTAACAAAAACAAAATGGCATGTTAGTTTCAAAGCTAGATAGCCCAAATAATAACCAAAACAACCCACAAAAACAAAAATATGAAACCATTGGCAAATCCCAAAAACAAAATCTAATAAATTTAGATCAAAGGCGTTTTTGGGAAACGTGAATATCAATCTCACTGATGTTGTCCACAATGGAATCAGTTCAAAGAACGGAGTGATACATGTTGAGATAAGATGGACAAATGTTTGAGAAACAGGATGAAAGATCCAACTAATGTAAATTGGTTTTGCAATATAAAGGATTACTGGAAGTCAGAGAAACAGGATGAGGATACAATGGATAAATATGTACTAAAAAATATAAAAGACAAGATCACTGCAGAAAGTTCAGTGAAATGGATAAATATGTACTCAAAAATATAAAAGACAAGATCACTGCAAAGAGTTCAGTGAAGGCCAAGACCAGAAGAGAAATGCATATAAACATAAAACATGATCATTTCTCTGACATGCTACATAAACTAAAAAAAAAAAACAGAAATAAAACCAACAAAACCTTAAACCCAAAAGGAAATCATCATATTAACTTTAAAAAATTAAGAAAAATCCAATAAATGGATGAAATTAATCAAACCCAAATAAGCAAAAGCAATAATCTTTACCTTTAGAAGAGAAAAAGACAGAGACTTGCGAGAGACAGAAATGAAGGAAGCCTTTTTAATGGACACGGTTTAAGGAGTTTTTCAGATGCGGTATAGGTCTGTTGTAATCTTTTGAATTTTGTGGTGTAAATATTGTACCTAGTGATGGTTTTGGTCAAACATTAGGTTTTTTGTCTCGGACCCTTTATATTATGAAATTCATAATCGAATTAATTCAAATTTTATAAAAAAAATAAATTTTTTAAATTTATTTTTTTATTCATACTATTTGAAATTAAATTTTTATTTAATTTTTTTGTTTGAAATTTTTTGAATTCTGATTAATTAAAGATCAAATTAAATTAAATTTTATAAAAAAAAAAAAAAACTCTTTCAAACTTATATTTACTTAATTTTTTCGTTTGGGACACCTTTGGATTCAGAAGCTTTTTTTTACTTGGTTTTTTGTTTGAGACCTTTTATATTTTGATTAATTTTAAGTTAAATTGAATCAATTTTTATAAAAAAATAAATTATTTAGTTTATTTTTTTATTTATATAATTTAAAATAAAAAATTTACTTTAAAAAATTAAATTTTTTATCACTCCTATCAATAGACGGGCTCAAACATTAGTTTTGATGCAGAAAAGGTACATTCGGTGATGAGTGAAAGTGAAGAACCGTAGAGAAGGAGATTGTAGATGAGTGACGCTCGATGACGGAATAATTCGTCGATGGTGTATAAAATAAAGGTGGGCAGGGTGCAGGTCAGAATAAATATCTTGGGATTGGGTTGGGTTCACCAAGTTTGCAATAAACAAGAAACAAGCTTGGGTTTTGTTCCTAGGCTTAAAACTCCAATTTTTGTTTCTTTTTATCGAGGGTGGCGATAATCTTTGTATTTTAAATTTAGAGAAGATAATTTGTATATTTATATTATATTAAATATTAAAATTTATTTATTAATATTATGTTTTATTAAAATTATATATTATAATTTAAATTAATAAAAAATACAAAATATATTTAATTTTAAATTTTAAATTATATTATTTTTATATGATATGACTATATCTTATTTTAAATAATTTATTAGTTACTAAAATTCAGTTCTAAAATTAAAGATATTAAATTCGAGCTCAATTATAATAGTTAAAAACAAAAAAAAAACAACGTAGGCAGAGGCATGGCTGGGCGAGGAATGCAAAAACAAACAGTAGGATCACATTGGGTGCGAGAGTCTTGAGATTAATTATAGAAACTTACTTTGACAAAACAAAAAGAGATTACATCTCAAATTTCGAATTTGAGCATCCCGCAGTCTCCGAATATTTCGTGCCGCTGAGCCAGAGGCTCGTTGGCTTGTACGGCAGGGCTCGAATCAACACCACTTTCATCTTTTAAGGAGAAGTGATAGGAGCACACGTGGATGAACACATAGATGATCTGATAGCCTGGGGTGACGCCACGTGGTAATTCTACACTCGTTGAGAAATGGATAACAGGCAAAAGGGTACCTACCCACATGTGCTTCTACAAATCAGTTCGTACTCTAACTTAGACTTCTTTTCTATAGAGTACCTTCCCATCTTCAGTTATCCACGAGCATCACTAGCGCGTGCAAATTCTTCACGTGTCAAATACATGCTGCATTGGTTTCATTTGATTGTTGAATTTGTAATTGTTTTTAACTTTTATTAAATTTATGATTTTACAAATATTGTTAATCTCTTACGGATAATAACCAATGGGAAATGATCAAGTTATATAAAAAAAATTTACACTAAAAAAGTTTTTTTTTTTAATCATTAATTTCAATAAATCTAAAAAATGAAAGAAATAAGTTAAAAAATAATTTAATCTCATCTGATAAATTTTTTAAAATTAATGATAAAAAAAATAAATTTAAAATTTTATACTAATATAAGTTGATTCCTCTCCATAACAATTATTGTTATATAAATGAATAATTTAACATATAATTAAACATATTTATCAGAAACTAAAATTAAGTTAATCATTATAAGACTATATAAAAAAAAGTAGCAATTATTATTCACAAAAGTCTTCATAACATCTCCCTATTATAAGTAATATTTGATATCATTTTCAATATTATTATAGTGATTTAATTACTATAATGATAAAATCATCAAGATGATTTGATTATTAATAATATTAGATTATCATATTTTGCACAATATTATAAATCATTAATAATCTTAAATTACCATATTTGTTATTACATGAAATGAAAAATCATTAAATATAAAATATTTAAAATAACCTTAAAAAAATTTAATATTTTTTGAGTAAACAATTTATAAAATAATGATATATAATTTATATAAAACTATAAAGTATGAATCAATTTTGATGAAAATAATTTACAAAAGAAATTATTAAATAAATTTGTTATCTTTTTAATAATAATTTCAAAAAGAATGCATATAAATTATAAAATGAATTAAGCCAATGAATTAAATTTTGAATACTTAATTCATTGAAAATTTTAATTTTTATTAAAAAACAATTTTATTAAATTTTTATGAATACTTATAACTTAAAAAGTCTTTTTTTTTTTTTTTAAATTGGGAAATTGTTAACCATATATATATATATATGTATGTATGTATCTATCTATCTATCTAAAAGATAATTTCATGTTAAATATTGAAAAACTCATACTATCTTGCTAATCTTAATCATTTATATATATACTGAAAGGCATGAATTATGTGGAGTTAAGATGGGCGAGAATGATTGATTTCTTCATAGTGAATGTTTGCTTGTAAAGATTAAATTTGAAGGGAATCATGTGTTTATTCTCATTATCATTAAAGTAAATTAATTAAAAAATAATATTGAATATTACTTTTTCATAATGATAAAAAATTTTTTAAAATTTTTTTAGATGAGAATCAAATTACTTCATAAGATAACAATCTTATCACTTAAGCAATTTAAGATCATTGCCATTAAAATTTCTAAATTGCTACCAAACTAGCTAAGATAATTATTTAATGCAGGTCATCCTAATTTTTAAACAAATCACCTCACTTTAAAATATAGCCAATTCTTAAAAAATAAGACTTACATTAAATATAATAAATAATAAATAAGCCATCGAACTTAATTCAAAAATAAAAATCAAATTTTGACTTTTTATTACATGAAATTAAAGCATAAATTTTATTTTATTATTATATTTAGAATCTTGATGTTGAATTATACCATGTTTTGTTTAAATTTTATTGTTTGGATTATGTAATTAAATAAAAAAAAAGGTTTACTTGAAATTATTTGAATGAATTAAATGATAAATATTTATGAAAAGTCAATTTTAATAATTATGATACTTGGATTATATTCATCCATTTTTATGAGTCAACGGTTATAATTATAACGAAATAAAAATTTATAATTTTAATTTTATACTTTAAAAATAAGAAATCTTAATTTTTTTAATAAAATTTGAAAGTTTATTTGAATATTATTCTTAAATATAATATATATATATAGAGGTAAAAAAAATAAAATATATGTGGTAACATGTAACAACCACATTAAAAAGGGAGAAGATGCAAGATTGTATTTTTAATGGTGATCCCTAATCTAAGATTATAAGAACAAAATAAGTTGAATGTGAATTGAAAAAAAGAAAAAAGAAAAAAAACCAAACACAAGTAAATATAAAAAAATGCTATAATTGAGATTTACTAAACAAATTGAAAGAAAATGAGAAAATTGGTAGCAAAATTACATGGATAGGAAGATTTGATTCAATAATTGATTTATAATTTTTACTCAAAAATAATATTTGAATCTCTTTTCATAGATAAAAAAGATAAAAGATAGACTTATTATTATATTATAAATGAGTGTTGAATTTTGTCATTAAACTTTGATTTTAATAAATTTTGTCATCGTATTATAGATAAATATCAATGTTGAATTTTATAAATGTATTTTAATTTTATTAAATTTTTTATTTTTATTTTTGTGAGTTTTGAACGAAAGTTAATGGAAATAGAATATCTTATGAAATATGCTGTTAATGTGTTTAAATTAAGTTTCTAATACAACCAAAAATATTATGTAGATAATCCTCATGTAGCAAAAATGTACACATAGTGTACCATGTAAGATGAAGTTATTATTTATTTTTAAGAAATTTATATTAAAATAAATATTTTCTAAATACCAAATTTAAAATATTTTAAAAAATATTATAATTTATGAAATAAAATAGAATTAAAATAAAAGAGAAAAAAGTTAAAATCAAAGCAAATGGAAATTGAAGCATAACTTCAACATTAGAATAATAACATTTCAAAGAGAAACTAAATTTAATATTTCAAAAATATTTAATTTAACATAAAATTTCATAAAAACAAATAATAAGAAATTCACACATGACACGACACATGTAATTTTTGCTTCATGTAAAATACCCCTACCATATTTTATGTTTTATTAGAAATTTATTTATATATGTTATAAATATTTTATTTTATTAATTTTAATCCCAAAAAAAGAGGCAAAATTCAACAAAGGAAAATACGACAAAATCAAACACTTACCAATAGTAAATGTCAAATTTAACCTTCATCGCGCTGGTCTATCTTTCCATCAATTTCTAATGTCTCACACAATTATTTGGGCCTTTCTTCGGTTTGGCCTTTCTCTCTCTCTCTTTTTTTTTTTTTTTTTGGGGGTTTTCTTTCCTTTCATTCTCGCGTGTAAATTCCGAACATAAGCCTTCTAACCGAGGAGAGCTATCTCCCTTCGCTCTCAAATACCCAGACCCCTACAAAAATACAATAGAAAAGAAAATCATATAACAGAAAAAAAAGAAGAAACTGTGGTTAAGCTTTGCTTACTTCATCTACTTATCTCTTCAATTTGTATTTTATAATCTATTGTTTATTAATCTGAGAGCAAAAAAAGAAAAAAAAAAGGATCTTGTCCTTCTTACAATGCCCACTTTGCAGCGGGCAAGGTAATAATCTAATCTTATTATCACCTCCAAATTTCAATTTTTTAGAAGCTGATTTTTATTGTTATCATTTTCTTAACATTCACGCTTTGAATCAATGCTTTCTTTTTGGCTTTTGATCGATACGCATTTACTCTAAGGTACTCAGAAAAGTGTTTCTTTTGAACCTTTCTTTTTTTAAAATTTTGTTAGATGAAATTTGGGTTTTCTTCATTTTTTCTTTTTGTTTAATGGGTACTTAATATTTGCTCAATGAAAGTTGTTGTTTGATGGATTTCTTTTTTAGGGTTTTCATCCGGATCAACGAATTGGGGGAAATTTGCCAAATTGGGAACTGATTAGGGTTCTGATCAGAGTATAAATGGGCTTAAGCTCTCGTTTTTGGAGTATCGGATTGAAGAGCTATTTTTCTCAAGCTTTAGTTTTTAAACAGATTGCTTAAGTGAAATAGTGATTGTAAAGCTTTTGGGCATGGAAGAACATTGCTTTCATATATAATTGTGTAGATATTGATAAAAAAACTTGAAGATTTAGTTGTTTTAAAGAAAAGGGTATTTGGTTTTAGTGATTTATCATGTGTTTGATCTCGATGGGATGGTTTTGGCATTGGGTTCTTATTGGAAGGAGGTGTTGATGATTCTTTACTGTCCCCGCAGGCAATGTAGAAGGTTGAATTGTACTGGAGCATTTTTGTGTCTTGGAATACCGTTTGGTTTAACATAGTTTTCAAGCTAGAGTTCTTGATTAAAAGAGCATTGCTTTAAGTTATCTTTCTATTTGGAGCATTGTTGAAGCATTTTAGTGTAAGCCTACAGTAGGTTTAGTAAGTGATTGCAGACTTGCACTGGTGATTTTCACATTTTAAGTGATTTGTTTAGCGATAGATAGTTGACTTGCGGTTACATTTGAGGTTAGGGAAATTAAGGGGCTTGGTGGGTTTAGGAACTTTTTGAGCGGTAAAGAGTGACGGAAGTTTATGGAGGAACATTAAAGCTGGAAATGTATGCCGGGATATGGTGAATGGACAGGAGCATGGTCACTGGTTGTTCCCTTTCCGGAACATTGCTATTGGAAGATAATTCAAGTGTTTTGGCTTTTGGAAGGCACTCGAGTATCGTCTTCTGAATTTCTGTGAAATGTCGCGTTGCTTTCCTTTCCCACCACCAGGATATGAAAAGAAGGTTAGGACTGATGATGTGGACTTACTAAAAAAGGTTAACACCATTTACTTATATTCTGTAACATTTTATTTTAAAAATATCATTCATTAGGATCATGAGAATGAATTCCGCTATATTTGCATTGGATTTGAGTTGCTGCTTTACAGTTTTTATTTCCATGAAATATTAAATGCCTTATAAAGTTTCTGCTGTCTTGTCTCAAAATGTATTTTAGGCATGCATAATATCTTGTGATTGCTTTTACTGAAGATTCAAAAATGCTAACTTGCTGTATAAAGGCCATTTGCAATTCCGTGAATTAGGTTGAGAGGCTGTATATTCTGAACAGATAAGATCTTAATTCTATAGGAATAAATAGTTGAATTGGAAGCTTAGTTGAAATGGTGAAGCAGTATATCTGGTGCCTAATTTATATTCTCACTGTTAGGCACCATTTTTTATTGATGATTTATGACTGAATGAATCTTTTCTTAACTTCTTTTTGTTTATTATTATGGAGTTAAGATCTGAATTATGATTTTGGAGTTTATTTCATGTATCCTGAATTATAACTGAAGGAAATTGTATCACTAGGTGGTTTTGATAATCTTGTATATGAACATATCTCACGTTTTTGTGTTACTTTATTTTCTAATGATACATTTAGGTCATAGAATTAATGAATTGAGGAGCTTATAACGTCTATAGATACCTTGCACAAAGTAGTGTTCACGTCCTGTTGAATGAAAGATTAAGTTGGGTTAAATCTAGCCCACTTCACTAATATCTCTCCCTTTCCCCCCTCATCAAAGAAAAGCTTCTACTAAATGATGTTGGACTTTGTCTAGGAATCAAATGTGAAAGAGGATTCATGTTTTTTTCCTCAAGATTTAGTCGATTGGTTAATTTTTTTATCATTCTGCTTTCTCAATTGGTTACTTTTTTCCTTCTGACATTACAGGGGGTGATATTCTTGTTTCCAGCCTGTGATAAGTGATGGAGTTTTGTGTGTACACAGGCTTGACCCGTTGGTTTGGGTTTAAAGTTATTAATTAGTTAAGAATAGATGCTTTACCTTTGGTGTCTGTCCATACAATATCTTGAAGAATCAGTTTCCTCCCAAGTTTCCACATTTTTAATATCTGTTCGAATAGTGGAATAAGCTGTGTAGGCTTATCTTTGAACTAAATTTTAGTTTTGCGCATAAGCTTGGCTATTACAAATGAATGAGGGTGCACTAAAGGAATTGACAATTTTGGACCATTCAGATCAAGTGATTTGAACTGGAAGAAATGGAGTTAGATTTATGCAGTTTTGCCAGCCTGATTGAGAGTGAACTCAGAAATTCTTTGAGGATATGAGATTGAAGAAATTTCTTTAAATGGGTCTGGAAAAACAAGGTGGAATCCTTGTGATTGAAAATTGATATAGCATTTAGTTTCAACTGTTTGAAACATGATTAAGCTGGTTAGGCTTTCTATCTAAGAGCTTGGATGTCTGACATTCAATGACTATGCAGTTTTAACAATTAATCCAAGTACTTTTCTTGTTGAGTGTTGATATGCTATTTAAAGTTACAACTTTTTACTTAGTTTGACTAAATTTGAAAGTGAAGAGCAAGGAGGAATCTAAGGGTGCTGAGTTTCGTTTAGTACATTCAACTAGTCATTTTGTGGTGTATTAACTGTTAAATGTCGTCATTTTGTTTCAAATGGCCGAAATAGTATCTAACTTGAGTCTGTGCTGTGAGGGAATGTTGAGGTAATCTATATGCTAATAATGCAAAGAGATTGAATGGCTGTATGGAGGTCTCTCTCTCTATGAAATGCAAATAAATATCTGTATGTTTTTTGAGTTGTTATTGTATTCTACCTATGTGCAAATCTTCCCATAGTCTAGGAGTTTGTTCTATATTCATCGAGATTTCTTCTTACTGTGCTCCCATGCTCCCCCTGCATGTTTTTATCTTCCTGCAGTATCTTGAAATCTTGACACCTGATTTGGTTTTGTTAGCTCATCTTGGTGACCTTATTTCTTCATCATGAAGCAATTTTTTATAGTGTTTTCTCCAACACGTAGTAATGGGGTTGATTTGGGAAGCATGTTTGTATCCTCCTGCAGTTTTTTTCTTGATTTCCTTATTCCTTACTTGGTGTTGGCAGCTCATCTTGGAGAGTTTATTTTTCTCCATGAAATATTTCTATAGACTTTTCTCTATTAAGGAGTGTTATCTTGTTGACTTTTCATATGTTTTCTTGTTCCAAATCATGTATGTTTTAACTTGTAGTATTAATTCTTCTTGTAAGATTTCAGAGCCTAAGTTTTAGATATTCATATTAGTTTGTGAGTCAGAGTGATATTTTGAAATTTATTCACTCAAAAGTATGTGCTGAACAAAATTCCAATACTTAAAGTGTTAGCTGTAGATGTAAATTTGCTGGTTTGGTGTAGTCATTTTTATTTTGTTGGTTAGTTGATGTGTAGATTTGGGGGGATGAAAGTAACTTATGGAGGGCTTATGTGGGATGAGTGTCATGAATAGACTTCTCTTTATGGAAATCCATTGTCATGCTGCCATTAAGTTGATTACTAGAAGAGAAAAGCTGTTATATTGTTTGCTACAGAGATAGCATGAGGATGATATAGGGAGAATAGTTTGGGCTTTGCTGAAGGAATGGCACAAACATCCATTGCCATGATTGAGGACATTTTTGGTGAGTTATGAATTTTTTCAGAGTTACCAAGGATAGAGTATGAGTTTTCATCATGAATTTTTTATGTTGGGACCAGTGCGTTGTTATTTTTCGTTGTCCATGAAGTGACTTGTTTTTCATAGCATAAACTGAATATGGTTTCAACTAGGTCATAATTTTCAACCAAGTATGACTGTCACCTTGGCCAAGATTTCCTCATACTCGTGTTTTTTCTAATTGACTGTGTCACACCTTTTCTGTAAGTAAACTTGAAAGCACTTTTGGCTAAGAGTCTTGGTGCTTTAGGTAGGATGAGTAGGAACATAGATACTTTTATGATTGCAGCTCTTCAGAGAATGCAGCAGCAATGCATGATGCTAGCCCCTTACAAATCCTTTATCCAAATGTATTCTATAAAGTCCCAATTCATCTTTTTCTGAGTGAGTGTGTGTTTTGGAGGAAACTGAGTGCTAAACTGGTATAGTGACCATTCTCGACTGCACAAAAGGCAGCAATTTGTCTAAATAAACAAAAGGAGCCAGATAGGAAGTGCCTGAATTACTTCATTGAGAGTGAAGCTTTTTTGAAAAGTGATTATTTAAGCAATGTTCATTAGCGTATTTAAAGGTTCTTGTTCATTGGGATATTCAAAAGGTCATGGTTGCTGTTTGGACGTCAAACATGAGTGTTTGTTGCTTTGCTGCATAATATTTGGAAGGAAAAGAGTGTTTTCACATTTGGCATTAAATACACAAATGAAAGCTATCTAGAATTGCAAGTGAATTTGCAAAAAGGAAAATGAAGTTTGGTGGTGCTGGTTTTCATATTTTTCTTTCTCATGTTTGAAAATGTAGTCAAGTTTGTTTTGAGCTCATTCATAATTTTCTTTCTCTTAGAGTGCGTTTGGTTTAGAGGAATCCATAAATTTTCTCCCAGAATCTTGATGGTGGGTATTTGTTTCCCACGTTTGGTTCAAGGTAATCCGATTATAGGGGAAAATATCAGATTCCCAACAGTACCCAAAGTCTTGGGAGTCAGAAACCTACCTCTCCCTATGGTATTTTAGGATTCCCAGGGGAAAGTTTCCTTATTTCCGAATTTAACTTGAACAAAAAATTTACCACATATCTGTTACCTTTTTGAAAAGCAAGTTTGGAAATAAGTTTTAGTTTTGGTTTCGGTTTTAGTTTTAGTTTTAATTTTAGTTTTAGATTTAGTTTTTTTTCTTTTGTTTTAAATTTGCCTTATTTTTAATATGTGGCAATTGAGGTGTCCCAATGAAGAAACGCCTTAATTGATATATTAATTGATTATCAATTAAGGTGTTTGTTCTTTGAAACGCCTTAATTGATAATCTATTAAGGCGTTTCCTTTTTACAAACGCCTTATTTGATAAATGATCTTCTAGAATCTTTATAAAAGCAAATAAAGCGTTTCTGTGAATAAATGCCTTATTTGATGCTTTTCCCAACATATTTACAAAGGCATTCAAATAAGGCGTTTCTTTTTTACAAACGCCTTATTTGATAGACGATCTTTTAGAATCTTTACAAATTCAAATAAGGCATTTCCTTTGAACAAACACCTTATTTGATGCTTTTTCCAACATATTTACAAAAGCAAATAAGGCATTCAGCTCTTCCAAATGCCATAATTGATTTTTTTTTAATTTTAATGCAGCAATTACGACTTGATATCTAGTTAAATGCTATAATTGGGTATATTTAATTAAAAAAATTAAAATATTTCTTTTTTTTTTGTTGCTAAAGGTATCATTTGTCGTTTGGGTTTTTTTTTAATTAAAACAAAATAAAAAGGTTGCCTACAACTTGTCAAGGAGATTATGGTAATTATATATGAATTAATAAACCAAGATTCCCTCCAACCAAACGAGTGAATTTGATTACTGGATGCCCTGAAAATCAAACAAAACCCTGGTATAAAACTTTTCTGAGTATCACACTTTCCCCTGGAATTCAAGATTCTGCAAACCAAATCCCCCCTTATTAATATAGCTTGGGTTATTGTGAGCTGGTGTTGAGAGGATGCTGTAGGTAGACTATATTTTCTTATTCAACAGAAATGCTGAATGCAAAGAAGCTCTTTTTTTTAACAACTTAAGGAAGTCCTTTCCTCTTAGGCTTCCTTATTCAAGTGCAATGCAATATGTATATGAGCTTTGTCAATGATGAATGCATATATATGAAAGCTGAATGGGACAATTCACATGACTAGGTATATTGTGCCTCAAGAATATCTTGTTTAAAGGATGAGATTTGATGTGGATAGGTTTTTTCTAGTACTTTACCATGTTCTCATTTTTTTAAAAAAAAAGTGTCCAGGGATGGTAATGCAAATCTCTGTGTCTTTTTGTTCTCAACCACTTTGTTAGTACCTTTTTTCCATGTCATTGAAATCCACCTTGCTTCGGTTGGGTGGTGGACCTGCTGGTGCCCTGTTTATCTCCTTTCTATAATCTGTATGCTGATGATGTCGTGACTGCTGGGGTGTTAACTGCATTCCTATTCCTTAAGAGCCCTGTTTTACAGCTTGTATACCTAATATTAAGGTTGAAGTGCCTCATGACCTATGCAGCCAAAATATAGAAGAGATTTTCTGAACTTTTGGTGTAAAGGCAGTACTTGGATTTGAGAATCATTTTGCATGCTCTGTTTAACTAGTAGAAGTTGCTGTAGTTGTCTTGGTTCTTTTTGCATGGTTAAGCTCTTAACATAATTGGAGGTTTTGCTCATTAATTTGGTATGTAGCATGTTGTGTCAACGTTCTTTTGTCTGAGATTTATAGCTCGGTATTTTTATGATTCTTATTGTGTTCAACACATTATGGTGGAGGTCTTGGAAAATAAGATTCTATTGTAGCTTCCAGACATTGTGCTTTCTGCTTGCTGAGTGGTTATGTTGGTGAATGATGGTGGTTCAGCCTTGTCTGCCATTTAGTAGTTGCGTTGGTTTTGTGTTTCGTATTTGTGGCATTTTCTTCTTGTTGTTTTTTTTTTTTCTTTTTCCCTTTGCTTTTTAAAATAATTTTTGGCTCTTCCCATTGCTTGGCTAAAAGATGTTTATCTGATCCCTTTAATTCCCTTTGTCATAACCTTTTCAAGATAGAATACAAAGGGAATTATCAGAGACTTATCCTCTGTCATAACCTTTAAGTAATCCTTTGGAAAATTTCTTGATGGATGATTGGTGTGTAATTTGTTGACAGAGGTATTTACTCAGTCTGTATGCTTCAGATTTGTTTGATTGTTTCATAGTTTTGTAAACAATCTTTTGCATTTGACTCACGAATCTATGTTTTTTGAATATCATTCTTGATTTTCAGGAGAAGCTAAAAGAGAAGAAGCATAAGAAGGAGAAGAAGGACAAGGAGAAGAGAGAAAAAGAAAAAGAGGAGAAAGATAGAAGTGATGGAAAGCATAAGGATAAGAAAGACAAAAAGGAAAAACACAAAGACAAAAAGAAGGAAAAAGACAAAGAAAAAGATAGAAGTAATAATTCAGAGGAGAAGAAATTTCCTGGTCATCCTGAGGGTCAAAATGGGGGGAAAACCTCAGATGAGAAGAAACTTCCAGGAAAATTGGAAGGTCACAGTGGGGAGAAATTTGTTCAGAAAGAGAAGGGTAGGGATAAAGATCAAAGCAGTTTCTCAGGTGAGAGGAAACTTGTTGGGCAATTTTCAGGTTATAATGGGGAGAAGATTAGCCAGAAGAGCCATCCGGCTGAAGATTTCAGGGATTCTAAATTTGTGCAGGAGTTGGGGAGGAGGATCAGAGATGATGGTGCTGGAGTTGGAAACCAATTGGTGGATAAGTTTATCGGTACCGACCGGAAAAGAGATGAGGGAGTGGTCAGATTGGTGGCTAAGACTGCCAACACATTGGTTGGAGAGAAGGAAAAGAACAAGAGAAGTGACGAAAGGAAGTTGGATGTGCAAGGAACCTGGGAGGAGACAAGATCTGCTGGAAATGCAGTGGTTCAGAACCTTTCAGGAGCAGTTAAAAATAGAGTTGAAGGGATCCCCAGACAAGTGGAGAATAATACTGAGAAGCAGGGGGAAGGGAAAGAAAAAACCAAAGAGAAAGAAAGTGATGATAAAATCAGGGATAAACCCAAGGATAAAGACAGGGAGAAAAAGAGTCATGGGAAAGATAAGGATAGGGACAAAGAGAAGGAGGAGAAGGTGAAGGCGGAGGTGAAGGCAAAAGGTGAACATAGGAATTTGGAGCAGGATAACTTAAAGGGAAGCAACAAAGATGATCCTGTGGGTACCATTAATCTGAAAACGTCACATGCTTCCAAGGAGGGCAACAAGGGTGCTGTTGCTGAGGAAAATCTCCGCAAGCGGAAGGACTTGGAACAAAATGGATTTCTTCTTGGTGAGTTTTATACCATGATTGTTTATATGAATCCCGCTGATCACTTGAAAGTTTGGTGCCTATTATTTGTTAGGAAACCTGCAGTAAACCTGTGCTTAAAATTGTGCAATTGCTTTCATGGCAATAATTTGTCCGTTTTTCTTAGCAGGGGTTAAAAGTTCTAAAGCTCTATAACCATCTTGGTAACAAGTTCTGCTTTCATTTTTATTTTTCTTACAGTTAATGACATTAAACCCAATAAATTGCTGAGAACAACTTCCTCCTCTCATCCATTGGCGGACAATGGAAGAACATTGGAATCTTGCCAAGCTCCCATCTCACTTACTTCAGATATCCATGGAGCAGGAACCACTCTTAAAGCAGATAACAAAGAACGCAAGGTGAATGGTATCATTGAAGCTCAGCTGTTTTCTGTCTCCCCAACAAAGCATTTATCAGCAGGTGCACAAGCTAGTCAAATTGATGATTTGTCTAAGAAACCACCTCATCCAGATTCCAAGTATTTGAGCCAGGTACTTTTAGTTCCCAAAATGGAAAAATGGTCTGATTTTGATGACCAAGAATGGCTATTTCACAGCAATGAATCTCAATCGAAGAAGCTCAAGGTGGGATTTTCTGAGATTGATGAGGCACCACAAGTGTGGGCAGGGCCTCTGCAGATAGAGTCAGCTGATATTTGCGCTCTCCCATACGTTATTCCATACTGATTTTGTCTTTATTAGTGGGCACATGGTTAACCCTCCTACACTGCAGCAAGATTTGGCCTTTTGGGCGGATTGTTTGATTTCTGTTCAGCATTCTTTTGTTCTCAATCGCCAGTGTTGTGGTGAATGTTTTTGCTTGACTGACTGCTAAACTTTGTTGAAAGGAACCGATCTTTCAGGTCAATGATGACATGCTCTGTCATGTTATTCCATTACTGGAAGTGGAGGGTGGGTATTTGCCTCCAGGTACGAAGCTACTAATTCATTCAAAACACACGATGCTATAAAGGCAAGGCAACAGAATGTCGGTGCCTTAAAATGGGAGATGTATAAGCTTGTGCAATTCTTATTTTAATTGCTTACGGCTGAGGAAGCTCTTTCTAATTGAGAATGTAAGAGAAACTAGCTGTGGTCTTTGCAACTCCACTGCAATTTTGATTTGTAACATAGAACTCCTATTTACCAGAAATGTAAGATAGAGGGAAAAGAAAAGTAGTTGCATTCATTTATTCACCTCTCCTGTAACTGTTGTTTATATTACCATTTTGCTTTATGTATAGACTTATTATCTGTCTGTTTTCATATCTGATTTGTCCAATATCCCATTGTACTTTGATCCCCTTTCTCTCTAGTAAAATAAAGATGTGTCTTGGTCTTGGAATTTAACCACTACCATCCTACTGCCTCAAACCTCCTGCTAGTTCTCAAACGATCTGATATGCCATCCTGCTTTTTCTAATTTTATTTCCATATTCTTTGTACAGAAAGAAGAGAAACAATATCTAGGTGAGTATGTGAGCTCCTGTCCAGGCACCAGTCCTGCCTCCTGTGTTTTGCTTGGTTGTTTGGGAGGATGGAAATGAAAGTTTTACTTGGTTGGAGGATGGAACTGAAAAAGATGAAAATTTTGTAATATAATGAATGGTAGGACTTCACAATCACTTCTCCGTATTTGTAGCTTAATCATTAAAATTTTCCTTTCTAAATGGACTTTCATTGATTCTAGTGAAATTTCTTACAAATGAAAATTTGCTAAAAGTGTTAGTAGATATGATAATTTTTAAACATAATATGATCTCATAATATGAAAATAATATAAAAAAATACAAATATTTGATACAAAATAGACACATTGTGGATGCACAAGTTATAAAATTTAAGTGTTATCACTTATAAATGCTATTGCAGACGTCATTTATTTGAAAATATATTCTTTGAGTTAACATCATTCAATTAGGATAATGGATGGTACGATTGATTCTGATGAGATTAAAATCAGTGATAGAGATGGGATTAATTATTATAGTAATAAGATTAAGTGTTGTAAGGATGAGATTAAAATTAGTAGTGAGGTATAAATTTGAATATAAAAGTAATTGTAACAGTAAAATAAAATATAATAAAAATAGAAAATGACTATTAATAACATTAAATTAAAATTTATATATAATAAAATTTATAATATATTTGGTATTTATAAATTTATAGTAAAATTGATTATTTATTATTTATTTATTATTTTAATTTATTATTTATTAGTTAATTTATTAAATAATTATATAAATGATATGTTAAGCAATTTTATTAAAGTAATTTTAAAAACTTTAAATTAAAAAATAAAATGACAAAAAAAAAGAAATCTAAATAAATAATAGAGAAGCCAACTCAAAGTTTAAGTGGTAGGACATGTGTCCATAATAAATTGTAGTCTAAAGACAAAAAAGAAAAGCAAAAAAGGAGTAGAGACATAATGAATAGGGGTTTTATTTGCACCTAAGAACTACTCTATACATTTCAAAAATTTTATTATAAATTTAATTTTTAATAAAATTAATTAAATATTTATTTGTTAATTATTATTTATTTTCACTAAAAAAGGTAGTTTGATCTGTATTCGACGGGTTTGGACTCTACTCGATCTTTTAGAGTTAGTTTTTTTTTTTTTTTTTGAAATTGGATATCGAGTTAGGTGATAAAAGGAAAAAATTGAGGTAAGGTTTTAGGCAAATTCGATCCTATCCGCTCCAATATATATAAAAAAATTATTAATTAATTATATTTATATTTATATTTAAAAATAATATTTTATTAATTTCAGGTTGGATCGGGTGGAGTACGATTTTATATAATGTTAGATCGAGTTGGATCAGGTTTAGATATAAAAAAATTTTAAAAAATCAAATTAGTTCGAGTATTATATATTATAATTGGATCAGATTCAGGGTCAGTAAAAACCAATCCTAACCTGACCCATTGACATCCATAATTTTCACACCCATTTCTTCTTCTTATTAGACTACCATTAGCTTTCGTCTCTTCTTTTTTCCAACAATAAGTCATATTGTTGTCAAATTTTACAACCTAATTTTATAATATCTTGTATACTATCAAAATGGAAAGTGAACTTTAGAGAAATAATTATAGCAATGAAGTTTTGGAGATAATGATTAGGGTAAGTTGATTTTCGAAAATGAATATCCGAAAGTCTTTAAAAATTTTTTAAATTCATTTCCAAAAGCTCTTAAAGTCTTTTGGTCATCCATTTCTAAAAACCTTTAAGAGTTATTGAAAATCCATTTTCGAAAGATTTGAATAACATGAAATACTTAAACCTTAAATTTTATGAAACTAAACACTAAATAAAACGAAAAAAGATAAAAAGTTAATGATTTACCTCTTATTATAAGTTTTCTAACTTCAAATGGACTAATTTTCTTTTGAATTTAACTTCAAATTTTAAGGGTTTATGATTGGAAGAGAGAGAGGAGATAAGGTGTGAGGGAGAGTAGATAAGGTGTATTGATGTTTGGGTAAATTTTAGTTTTAAGTGTGGGGTGTGATGAGTAAAACATTAGGTATTATAAATAATAGGGTATGCTGAGTAAATGTTGGTTTACAAATAGAAAACCTTCATAATAAAAAAACGAGAGGTGTTTTTAGTTGTTTGGTCTAATGGTCAAGACGACATTAAAAAAGACATCAAGATCGGGTTCGAACCCTAACCTTCCCCCTCCCCTTAATGTAAGGTGAATGACAAAAAAAAAAAAAGAGGTGAGTGGGGAGACAAAATTCAGGAGCTTTTATTCGGATCTCAGGAAACACTCTTCACACTCCAATTTCTATTATCAAAATATCCTTAAATAAAATTATTTGATTAGCCTCTAGCTAATTATCTTTCAACTCTTGTAGACTTATGTTTACTTTTCTCGCACATTATTATTTCATTCCAAATTTCAATTTATTCAACATCTAACCAAAATCTAATAAAATCAAAGGTAACTTATTTCTAAATTTAAGTTTGGTGACTTGATTAACTTAAAAACTTGTGATTATAAAGTAATTTTTGGGTTAGGATTTGAGGGGTTAGATTGAATTGGAAATGGATAGAGTATTAGGAAAATAGGTGTGAAGGGTGTTGAGGGAAAATAAAAAATGTGATTTGGAGGTACAATGAATAAAAATTAATTTTAAAAATTTAAATTTGAGGTGTAAATAGTAATCGGATCTAAATAGACGAACCTTAAAATTTTCACTGGAAGGTGAATGATCAGCGGTTAAATGGAGGTTTAGTGCAGTGAAAACCTTTTAACTGCTACTAGAGTTGTGTGCCAAATACATGTTTAGCATGGTAAAAAGCCTTAATTGCACCCCATTGGAGGCTACTGATAATCAAATGGGACCTTAATGTTATCATCAGTTCACAATTAATAAGATGATTTTTAATTTATTTGAATAAATAAATAAATATATAAATTTAATTAAACAAATGTCTTAAGAATACCCTTTAGTTTCAATCTAAATTTGGAAAAAAAAAAAGTCTAAATTAAAGCTTAATGTTGGCAAGAGGAAATTGGAATCCAAATTTTCAGCAGGATACGTGCATTAAAGTTGAATGTTCGATGTCATACGAAAAAAACTAATTTCGATATAAGCATGTTGTTTTTTACAAGACTAACCATAATAATCCTTTCTAATTTGGTTAATCAGAAGGGGACTTCCGATCCAACTTTTAATGCAAATCCGAAGTGGCCAACTGCTTTACATCCAACAAAAACCAATGAAAAAACAACCACATAAATGTTTCCCCACTGGTCCTGGTTTGAGAACCAATCTCAAGGGTGAACAGTTGGTCGATTTAATCGATTCGGTTTGAAAAATTAATAATCGAATTAATCGATTTTTATTCTACAAGTACTTGAATTGACCAACAAAATTTTAAATAATCGTTTTAATTGAACCGACCAAAAATTGATTCAGTTCGGTCAGTTCAGTTAAATAACCGAATTTTTCATCATTTTTTCTCCTATTTTGAATGATTATTTAGTGACAAATTCAATCTAATAAAATTCAAATTCACATATAATTCAAACTAAATCACTAAAGAATTTAATAATTTCAACAATATTTTACAAAAAAAAGACAAATAAATACTCATCTAAATTTGTTTAATTAAAATAATTAAACAATAAGTTTTAAAAAGTATTACTTTAAGAGGACATTTGGTTCGGGAGAATCCACATATTTTCTCTTAAATCTTATTATTGGGTATTTAATTTTAACGTTTGGTTTAAGATAATCTGATTCTGAAAAAATCTAACATATTTTCCAACAGTACTCAAAGCCTTAGAATAAAAAATCCACTAGTATTCTAGGATTTCGGGAGAGAAAGTAGCGTTATTTTCAAATTTGACTTGACTAAAAAATTATGAAATAACTGTTATTATTTGAAAAGTATGTTTGAAAATAAATGCAAATCAATTGTAGATTTCTGCTGGTTAAAAATTTTGTTTATATATGACGTTTGACATGAAAAACACGTAAAATAATCCCTAAAAATTTTTATTAGGGGATTATTAAATGTGTTTTTGACCAGAAACGCCCAAAAATGTTTTAAATAACCTATTAACCTTCATTAAATTTTTTGTAAGGGAGTATTGAAGATGTTTTTTTGCTAAAAATACCTTAAATAATCCCTTATAAAAAATTGAATGGAGTTATTCAAAGCGCGTTTCTGGTAAAAAATATCTTTAATAATAATAAAAAAATGAAAGGAGATTATTAAAGGTTTTTTTGGTTAAAAATATCTGTAATAATCTCTTACAAAAAATTACATGGAAGTTATTCAATTTTTTTATCGCTTTCAATAATTTCCTTATAAAAATTTTTAGGGATTGATAAAAAATGTCTTGAGTAACTTCATTAAATTTTTTATAAAGGATTATTGAAAACATTTTTTGTAAGCACATAAACAAGGTTTCAAAGGTCAATAGGCCAACTTAAAAAAGCAAATCAAGCAAGTATAATTCTCATAACTTTGGTGCAAAACATAAGAGATATTTTAAGTTGGCAAAATGAGCTAACAGCTCATATAAAACATAAAACAAGCTAAAGG